ACATCTTCACATCCTCACATCTTCACATCTTCTCCTCTTGCCCTCTTGCCCTCTTGCCCTCTTGCCCTCTCGCTCTCTCCTTCTTTTCTATTTCTCTTCTGAAGGCGGGGGCAGGGGCAGTGCCAACGAGACGGCACGAAACGCAACCCTTTCGATCGCCAAAAACTGAGGTAAAATTGCGATTCCCAAGTCGTCCCGCGCGACCCTTTCGCACGAAACGAGGTTCGATCGCCAGAAACTGAGGTAAAAGTGCGATTTCAAGGTGTCCGGCGCAACGGCGCAACCCTTTCGCACGAAGCGAGGTTCGATCGTCAAAAACTGAGGTAAAATTGCGATTTGCAGGTGTCCGGCGCAACCCTTACGCACGAAACGAGGTTCGATCGTCAAAAACTGAGGTAAAAGTGCGAGTTCAAGTCGTCCCGCGCAACCCTTTCGCACGAAATGAGGTTCGATAGCCAAAAACCCAAGTAAAATTGCGATTTCCGGGTTCCCGATGTAACCCTTTCGCACGAAATGAGGTTCGATCGCCAAAAACTGAGGTAAAATTGCGATTTCCGGGTTCCCGTTGCAACCCTTTCGCACGAAATGAAGGTCGATTGCCAAAAACGGAGGTAAAATTGCGATTTTTTCTGTGTACAAAGCTTCTGTGTGCTGTGTGTGAAAGCTTCTGTGTGTAAAAGCATCTGTTTGTGTAAACGCGTCTGCTTAAAAGCTCCTGTGTGTAAAAGGGTCTTTGTTAAAAGTGTCTGTGTGTGAAAGCGTCTGTGTGTAAAAGTGTCTGTGTGTAAAAGCGTCTGTGTAAAAGCGTCTGTGTGTAAAAGCTTCTGTCTGTAAAAGCTTCTGTGGGTAAAAGCTTTGTGTGTAAAAGCGTCTGTGTAAAAGCGTCTGTGTGTAAAAGTGTCTGTGTGTAAAACCGTCCGTGTGTACAAGCGTCTGTGTGTAAAAGGGTCTGTGTGTGAAAGTGCCTCTATGTAAAAACTTCTGTGTGTGAAAGCTTCTGTGTGTAAAAGCTTCTGTGTGTAAAAGCTGCTGTGTGTAAAAGTTTTTGTGTGTAAAAACGTCTGTGTGTAAAAGCTGTGTGTAAAAGTGTTTGCGATGCAAACTATTGCCTTGTACTTGTGCTATATTGTCTTGATACTCCTCTTCTCGACTGCCTATAACACATCTTTAATATATTGTTTTGTAATATGGTGTCTCCATACTAACAAGAGAAGACCCTGCTCCTCTACGCTCTCGGGCCATCCGTCGTCTAGTTGTTATTTATCATCCGAGGCTCCTGTTTGCTCAAAAGTAGTTTTCTCTCTTGCTCGTTCTGTGTGTCCCAAGTTGCATGATTTTTCCCAACTCTTTGGTCAAGTTGGCATGGTTGCCCAAATTGCTTCGCCACACGAAGCCCAAAACATACGATATTAGTTTTTTCCTATTGCCACCTCCATGTCTGTCTTTGATATGGAGAGAAACAGGCAATGTCTTTTCAAGACTGTGCCACCAACGAACGACACATTGTGTGCCAGAACTTGTTAGTAGCGTGTCAGAAGTTCCGAGAACATGTTAGAAGCGTGTCAGAAGTTCCAAGAAGATGCTAGAAGCGTGTCAGAAGCTCCAAGAACATGTTATAGTAGCGTGTCAGAAGTTCCAAGAACATGTTAGTAGCGCGTCAGAAGTTCCAAGAACATGCTAGAAGCGTGTCAGAAGTTCCAAGAACATGTTACAGTAGCGCGTCAGAAGTTCCAAGAACATGTTATAGTAGCGTGGCAGAAGTTCCAGGAACATGTTATAGTAGCGCGTCAGAAGTTCCAGGAACATGTTAGTAGCGCGTCAGAAGTTCCAAGAACATGCTAGAAGCGTGTCAGAAGTTCCAAGAACATGTTACAGTAGCGCATCAGAAGTTCCAAGAACATGTTAGTAGCGCGTCAGGAGTTCCAAGAACATGCTAGAAGCGTGTCAGAAGTTCCAAGAACATGTTACAGTAGCGCGTTAGAAGTTCCAAGAACATGTTACAGTAGCGTGTCAGAAGTTCCAAAAACATGTTAGAAACGTAGCATCAAGAGCGTGCCACATGTTCCAAAAACATGTTAGTTGCGTGTCAGAAGATCCAAAAACTTGTTAAAGAAGCACGCGACAAGAACGTTATTACACCCCCCCCATCCTCCCCCCCAACCCCCCCAACCCCAGAAATTTGCCAAAATGCACAAAAAAACCAAGGGCGTTTATCTACGTGCCTCCTTCTACATGTATATGTGTATATGTGCATATGTGTATATGTCTATATATATATATGTTTATGTCTATATATATATATGTTTATGTCTATATATATATATATAAATATGCACATATTTGTACTTAGTACCGCGATGGGCTGAGGCCCTGGCGCTGATCTGCGTGGAATGAACGTTGTGGGATTGGCTGGCGAGAAGATTTTTTTTTACAATCACTCGGCTGCAGTTGGCAGACAGTTCTCAAAAAGAGAGGCTCCTCAAATTGTAGCAGATGCAGTTGAGAAACAGCGTGCATTGGGAAGTCCTTCCAACTGTCACAGGAACCAATGGAACGTGCTAGAGCAAAACAGGATCCTCAGTCTTGAGACTTGCAAACAAACAATGCTGGTAGGTAGTTTTTTTTGTACATTGGTCGCAGCCTCCCGAAGGGAAGCTTGCACAGCGTCAATAGTTGCAAAAAAGAACCGGGGAATCAGGACTGTCGCAAACATTTGGGATGCGTGCCCCAATGATGCACAGAATACATTGGGACGAAATTTAAGATCGCTAGACACTATTATTGAAGTCTTTGGTATGCACAAGTTGGGCAATTTTCATACATTGGTGGGGCGGCCAAGCAAACCCCCGCAGGCGTGGCCAAACGCCCGACGTCGTTTTGAGGCTGGAAGATGTCCAACCAGTTTATCAGAATTATCATTCTCAGACAAAACAGGTAGCCACCAAAGATCAGTTTCAGCCACTGTCCCAAGTTAGATGGAGTTTGCACCAGTCGCGCAGGGAGAGAAAGTATTCGCTCCCAGCAAGGCATGGTTGGCATGTGCATCCAAAACAGAATCTGTTTCGAGGATTGGGATCAAAGAAAATTTAGCAACCAACACTGTGACAGCGTGTGTAAGTTCCAGGTGATTGTCGGTCCCAAAGCTGGCCCAAGGCGTGCTCTGGGTATTAGGTGCAGCTTAGTAGAAAGCACCGAACAATATATTTTCGACATATTCCTTTTTTTGCCCGGTGTTGGTTGTTAGCTTGGACTGCTTGGCATTTTGCAGCGGTCCACCAGCTGGCCCAATGCGCACAACGAAAAAAAAGAGACTGACGAACCCCCAGGCTTTTGAAAAAGATGCGGACATTTCATCGTTCTGGTTTGGACCCCCTCCAAGACGAGTCACATTGGCTCAAACGTGTTTCCTCCAAGAGCATCAAGAGGAGGATAGGGAGGAAGCGCTGTCCGGCTTGTAAAATGTTGTTTTCTTCACGCGATTTGCCTTAATAAAAGATAGTAAAAGTATATATAATATATATATAAGTCCTTTTTGTTCCTGGTTCGATTGGACCTTTGGACGTTTGAAAGTGACCCAACTATTCATTCCGATCCAGGCTGGTTTTCTCTCGCCGTGCGCATCCAAGACGCCCTCCTGGGCGGCAAGAGCGACGCCCAGGACAGGACTGAAGTTTTATTATGCTTTATTACGCATTGCGACATATCGAGAGGTTTGTATTAAGGTGTATTTGCGCATCAAAATTCTCAGTTTGAAATGACTTTGATGCACAGGTCAACGTTAAAATGTGACACACCACCGATCATGTGGTAAACCCCAAAACGACCTGCACATTTGAGGTTTACTTTTGTGGGTACAGTTTATCAGTGGGAGTGCTATTGCAACATCACATCAATTGTGGATTGAAATATTTAGTATTGCAGAATAATTGCACCTCACGGCAAGTAGAATTGAAGTAGAGGTGATGGATATGTCAAACATCCACGCAAATCCAATCGACATGTGATTGCCAACGTTGCATGTGATATTGACATCGGGTATAAAAACACTATCCAGTAATCACACAGGGAAAGGAACCCATTATCATGTGTTCAGCAGGCCTCATTTGTGTGCAGGCATCTCTGAATTTGTACGCAATTGGAAATATCGGTACATGCATTTCTTTACCAGTCTTGAATTTCCCTTTTTTTTGAGGGGAAGTATTCAGACAGCCCTATGAGAGCAACACCTCAGCACCGTTGCGTATATTTCGCATACGACTCAGCCTAGTCTGCATAATACACAATTCTTACACTTATACAATGATCAATTATTTCAATCGTCTTTTTTTTTAATCTTCAAACCTTCTTGCACTTATATACGTGCGTTTCCGGCTGCTTTTGGTTCTTGGCCGGGCCCATTGAGCCTTCGTGGTGCTGTTTTTGTGTTGAACCAGGCTCCCGTCCTACATCGCGGAGTTTCGGCGCATCGAAAGCAGGTGCACTTTCTGTGTTCTCGGAGAATTCTGAGGGGCTTTCTGCGCTTGACACTGCGCAGAATTTGTTTTTAGTGCGACTGGGCCACCGAGGACCAAACCTAGCCATCTACATAGCAAACGGTGGTTAAAACCCACTGGGGTGTAGATGTCCAAAGAACTCAAACACGCTAAACACATTTAAACACATGAAACATGAGATTGATGTTCTCGAAGACCTTGGCATGTGGCTCCAACGCAGTGTTTGGATGCATTTGGCTGCTGCCGAAGGGGCAGTAACAAAGGAACAGATGATGCACGAATGGGACACCAAGTAGCCAAAGAGAGTCTGCAAAGACAGACAAAACACAGAGAGACAGTTACATTCACAACATGTCACAAATGCATCACCATGTTGGCCCTCCAGGGTTCCCAGAGTAATGGAGGAATTGTTGTGACCATAGCAGAGAAGCCAGTCGAATGTTCTTACTTTTCCAAGCGACCACCATATTGATGTCGAGCAATCGAGCAATCGAGCAATGCATTTGTGTTGCCAGTGGCTGAATTTGAGGGTTCGCGATCGGTGAGTTCATGCCGCATTTGCCGGACGGCAGCTTTGCTCGCGGCGAGAAGTGGTTCGCAAAGCGGGGTCGTCCAAAGAATCATACAGAGGCCAGAGGGATCATGCGTTGAGGGCAATTGATTTGCTGAAAGTGGTTTTCAATGTTTTTTGTTTGTCGAGATGTGTCAAAATCCATCCATTAGATCTGGAAAAGCTCGAGGTGTAGCTGCCAGGATGATTGCACATAGAACCACGCAGTGTCACAACGCTTTGTGTTTTTCATTGTATGCCAAAGAAGGACAGCTAACGTGTCAGGTTGAAATATACCACAACAAAGTGGATGAAACTGATGACACTCCATAAATACATGTATATTATATATATAATATATATATATATTATAAATACATCATATTATATCATTTTTGCATTTTGCTAAACTTTGACCTGTGATTACTTGTGATTCCTTGTGAATATCATCCCATCACCCATTTCTTCGCAGATCTCTGCAGTATGGACACAAGCACCAAACTTGAAGTGGCCAGGAGTTCTGGCTGAAGTACGAAGGATTTGGCTGCCAGGCCTTTGAGGCCGTTCTAGCGGGGTTTGGCGGCGGAGTTTTGGACAAGACACATTAAAGCACGAAAAGTAAACAAAGTCAACCGGGGAGACCCTTTCCAATTCTTCACAACGTATTTTCTGCTCACATTCTTTACACAGCTTTGCAACTCTTTACGTATCTTTGAACTTACTGTGAGATTGGGGTTGATCGGCCTTGATTGCTCAACATAAGCCACGTGCCCTTCTGATCTGGGGGATAGGCAGGAGAGATTGGAATCACCGCCTTGCACAAAGCGGCGGCTTTTGGATGGCCACAGCAGGCCCTCTGTGATGTGCTAATGCAGTGCTAATGCAGTGCTAATGCAGTGCTAATGCAGTGCTAATATACTCGACAAAGAACATGAAAGAAAAACAAGTCTTGACAGTGCATCAGGTTGAAGGTGAGAGAGTCCAAGTGAGTTGGACTATGTTGGACTTTATTTTGTTTTGTTTTCAACTTCAACTTGCCGTGATGGGAAGTTCATTGTGCGTTTGTTGAACATTTTTGAAATATGAATGCAACGAATCAAGTTTGTCCTGTGTTTTCGACCTTGCCAGGCCCAATTCCTGCTGGCCCGAAACGCTGAGATTGTTTCAGCGAGGAGCAATGTACCAGTCAAACGAACATCAGATCATTCTTCAAGGATATCCAAGGACCTCCAAGAGATTACAAGGGATACGTAAGCAGTCTGTTGTAAGAGATTGCCACAGGTAACCCGGATTGCCTACTTGACCGACACTTCATTGAATCCCAGGTTTCGAGGGGGAACCCAGGCTTCCACACACCTTCTCGCATTATATTTTCCTCGCGTTTCATTTTTAAAACAACATTTTTCATTGTTTTTCATTGCTTGTTTTTCTGTATATGTACCTTGCTAGCCGCTATGTTCCTTGTGTTTTCTCTTCAATGTGGCAAACGATACTTGCTATACTTGCTCTTGTTTTGCTGGATTTGTGGATGTTCTTGCGTCGTCAATCTTTTTTTCATATTGTTCTTTGGGAGGTGACACAAAGAGACAAATGAAGAGAGTGAGAGAGAGATCAGGAACCAAGTCACAAGACGCGCTTGCCGCTTGTGTGAGGACATCTGCACATCAGTCCGCTAGAGACGTGGCAGAGCGTCCGGATCTTGGGCCATGGTTTGCCGTCGTTTCTAGCTGGGGTGCGTGATATGATATATAACAGCTACTAGTCACGTTCCTAGTCCAAAGTTATAGTTGAAGTATGTTGAAGCGATTGTTCCTTCCAAAAGCAGTCTGACGAAGATAGCAAAAGCTTTACTGCAGAAGCCCAAACTCCAAGCTTGCGGTATCTCGGTATTTGAATATGAAAACCTTGGGATTTTTATCCAGTCTTTCTGGAGACAAAGAGATGAACATTATATAAAACCCGAGATCTGCATCGGGAGGCAGTATGTGGCAAAGGACAAGGGCGAAAGAAAGGAGGAAAGATGCATAAATATGCTTGGGAAACAGGAGAAATGGCTACTAACACACGCATACACACATACACACAAAGAGACATTGGTCTCTCAAGTAACCTGTACAACTCTATTAGTCTTCCTGCAATCCTGCCCCGAAGTGGATGTAACGTGTTCTATAACCTTTTGAGCGAAGTCAAACAAGCACCCTCTGGGAAATGCTTGACGCCTTTGTCATCATCCCATACCTCTGTACCCACAGGGTAGCAGAATATGTGTAGAATCTGTAGGACTCTCTCTCTCTCTCATATAGTGACGGAAAGATATATGAACGCCCCAACCTGCCAGGGATTGGAGGAGAATGCCAAAATGTCCTCCCTTGTGCCAGTGACACAGCTCTAGAAGGATTGATATCTGACGGTTTTTAACGTTTTTTTTCTGAACAACGGCGAATCAGACATCACACCATGTGATTTTTTTTGTACCTGTACGAGTCCTCGTTCAGTCATTTCCAGCAGAAGCTGTGCAGTATTGTCAATGTGAACTAACCTTTACTTTACCAAGTCAATAGTTTTTATTCAAACTGTTCTGGACCCGTTCGCATGGCCACATTTTGATTCGATGGTATGTTCGTTTGCCCCATTCTAGATCAAACATGACAAGCAGCCATGGTATGCCATGGTAATATACTTGACACTTCAACACTGTGCGAGTGCCATTCTGAAGAAAGGTGGAGCGGCCTGGTGCATGGCTAATGGCAAGACCAATAAGGAGCGTCAGCAACATCAGGAGGTGGGAAATCCATCTCTATCTCTGCCTTTGTGTCTTGTTCTTGTTCTTGTTCTTGTTCTTGTTGTTGTTGTTGTTGTTGCTGTTGCTGTTGCTGTTGGTGTTGCTGTTGCTGTTGGTGTTGTTGTTGTTGTCGTTGTTGTCGTTGCTGTCGTTGCTGTCGTTGTTGTTGTTGTTGTTCCTGCTGTTGTTCCTGCTGTTGTTCCTGCTGTTGTTTTTGTTGTTTTTTGTTGTTGTTGCTGTTGTTGCTGTTGTTGTTGTTGTTGTTTGCCCGGTAATTATATATATCTGTATTTGCATATGTGATATATGTGTATGTGCATGTGTGTCTGAATATACAAAAATTACATAGTATATGTACGCAATAATATATATACGTATATATATATATATATATTTATATTTATATAAAATATGTACAAATATGTGTATAGTGTATATATATATATACACACACAATTCGGGATAGTCTGATTAAGAGCCCCAATGAGAGCCGTCCATTCCACAGCAGTTCAACACGCACGTTATTAGGGGGGGCGTGTGAAACGTGCACAACTTCTGTGAAACGTGCACAACTTCTTGCAAACGTGGACAACTTATGAATTCGATGACAAGTTCTCAAACACTGCAAAGAGCTCTTAACCAGACTATACCCATATAATTATATATATATGTACATATAGACATGTATATGATTGTATATGTTTGACAAACACATTTGTATCATAAGTTGTGGGGAAGCCTTCGAAGTCTGCATGCTCATGGCCGGTTGTTCGGATTGTAGCATTTTATGCTGTGCTCTTCCGCAGGTAGCTGACCTTTGTGCCCGTGCGGAGAACGGTGAAGCGATCACCTTCGATGTGGTTGGGAGCAACTGAGCTCGTTTGACCACACACATTCTTTTGCTAAACGCAAGTAAGACATCGTAACACGATGTAGAACGTCGTAGTCATAGACTTATTTCGGTTTGACTCGGGCCGGAAGTACAATATGTAGAATTATATGACGTTGCAGCCCTACCGAAACTGGCGGGGCAGTCACACAGAAAACGACGAGATTTCAATGATTTCAGCGATTTGACAAAAGAGTTCCAAGCGGTTTCTCTCTGCAAATTTCAACTCTGCTGGACTTGTTTTGCCTTCCAAAATCCAAATCTGGAGAAGGTGCCGGAGCCATACGCCCCTCGAAGGAGGAACCGGCTGCGAATGCAGGCTGGGAAAGCAGAATCAACAGGTGCTGCAAATGCCAGTGAAGCATTCTAGCAACAAGTGAACAGAGAGAACAGAGAACTCATCGCTTGCGATTTGTTGCCTCAGTTGGAAGGATTGCATTTTTATTGCTGTCCGTTTGACTTGGACCGCTGCATTCCCCATGTCTTTGGAGTGGTTGAAAGCATTCAGACTGTGTAAAACATTTCCAGGAGGTGAACAACTTCGACCTAGTCGCGAAGTAGACACCGAACAACATTGAACGCAAAGCTAGCCCTAAGATAGAAACCCACACATTTTTTTGTCTTAGCTTGCATGCAGCATGCAGGTTTAATATGTTTTCTTTTGTTAGACTGAGCGACCGAGCCCATCGAAAGTTGCAGGCTCCCTCGAGTGCCGCGCAGCCTGTACCTGAGTCAACAGCTGATTTCCCGCATGGATCCACAAGTACAAGATCATTCAAGATATTCAAGTACATACTACTCGATTTACTACTCGATTTTGTCACCGCCTTTCCAGAGATACTTGAACTATCTTGAACTTGAGTGCCGACTATTCTGCTGATTCTACACTGATATGACATATAACACTTTATAAAACGTATGCGCCAAAGTCACTTGTACGATACTGTGCACATGGAATGCACACCACTATTGCGATTTGCATGAGAAAGTCCTCCTGAAACGTGCCAGAATTCATGAAGAGCGGCCATGGACAATTCCTCGACTCAAGCTGTAGAGGGACATGTATCCCAGGCCGTACATTCAGAGAATCAGGTTGAGTCAGACTGACAAGACATGTTGAAAAGCGAGTAAATTGATGTAAATTGCACGTACCACCCTTTAATGAAATCATGACCACAGCGAATGTGTTGGGCATCCAGCATTGAAATCTGGCGTGTCCAGAGATTCTTCACTTTGTTTGCTGTCATCATGGCGCTTCTGGATCCATGAACTGTGTTTGCCCTCACTGGGAGGATTTGAGGGAAGGGCGGAAGGTGTTGCAGTTGTTGCAAAGACAACTGACTTGCTAGACTTATAGGCTTTTTGGCAGAACTCCTCTGCAACTTGACAAGACAATAGCCGTATGCAAAACCCATGACATGACTTTGGGTGTAAAAGTCGTCACTTACATATCCGGAGCATTTTGTCCAGAATCACGCAGGTTAGCTTGTGCAAGGAATAGGGGCACCACCGTTGAATTCCTCGAGTCCTTGAAACTTTCAATGTCATATCCCCTCTTCCCCCCTCCCCCCCTGGCCGGGTTCGACACCCCCTGGTCCATGGTTTGGGGTCTCCGGTACAACATTAGTACCCTCCTGCTAGCTTTCGTGCCTCCCCCCAGCCTCAAGATGTTTCTTATCACAGTACTAGTTTGTGGGTACTCTGAGAGACCAGACAGTTGCCATTGATCAGCAATTGCTGGTGATCAAGAAGATTCACCCCAGATGTTGGTGTTGCCTTTTTCGGTTTGAACATGTTTGAACCACGCTTGAGGAGGATGATGAGGGCGATATCTTCCTGGACTCCAACCGGGAGGACCAGCAGCTTGTGTTGCTCCAATCCTTGATTAAGAGTTATATAAGACAAATTAAGACGGAAAGATGAGGATCATTCTTCTTTTCTGAAGTATCCATATTTGTAACGTTTTAAATAATTTTGGTGCAATTTAGCCAGAGCTTCACAACTAGACACAGTGCGATGTGTACGGTGAACAACTTCGAGACTAGCGAGGATCTGTGTGTCAAGTCGATCCACAAATACAACCTACTCACGCGCTATACAAGCATATGCAAGCCTGGTTGGGCGATTCCCCAAAAGGGATCCCTTCCAAAAGCCACTGTCGTAGTTGCCAATGTCAATGTTTGACGGCCTGCTTGAAGAGGATGTGCGGTTCGACAACGTTCCAACTTTCCTTATGCTGGTGTCGCAACCTCGGGAGAGCAGGGTCTTGAGAGGACTCTGAAAGTCAAAGCAGCTGGGAAAGCGAAGTGAAGGAACAGGTCAAGAAGAGATGCTGTGAAGGTTGGTAAACCGATGTAAACTGTTTGGAATTTTGAGATGAAGCGAACAGCTGTGAGCATTGTATGGATAGAGCATGAGCGCCCTGCTCAGAAAGCATGCTGTCCAGGTTGGTGACCCTCTTGAATGTTTTCGCAGTCCTTGCTTTTGTCTTCAATTCAATCTCCATGCAGGACATGCAGAGTGCAGGGTGGGAACCTGGATAACCTGGCTAGTCCTTAATCGAACAATATCGAACTGAAGTACAGATTATCTGACCCCGGCACAAATGGAGACTACACCTAGAATCACCAATGAATCACCTACAGTAGAGTATATCATAGTATATCATACTGTATCATAGTATATCATTGCATCATATTGCATCATTCTTTCTGGTCTCTCGGGAACAAGAGGGGGGGTGCTTCGCAGTTGCTGGAGGATGTAGCCATTGCTGGTTTTCTCGCAGCAGGATCCTTATTTGTTTGCAATGGCTACAGTGGTTTTCTCAAGTCTCCTTCAGTCAACTGCAGTGTGAGACTTTTTTGCCACCTTGTGTTTCGACTGGTTTGGTCTGGAACATCAACCTTCTCTCATACTTTGTCAGGGAGCACTGGTTGACATTTCTCCCCTCTTCATGTCAACTCGATCCGATGGTAAGGCCGTCATCCATGGACTCTACACCCTGATTTGCAGAAGTTCCCAGGATGCACAGAGAATGGTGCGATGACAAGCCTAGTGCGGTGCATGCTCCAATACCAGTATGTCCAGTCCACTGAAGCAGCCTGTTCTAGAGCGTGCTATTGGGCATAGAATTGTACCTTCAAATATCTTCAAATCAACTCCATATCCAGCTGAGATTGTGGCAGGGTATGCCATCCAAGATTCGCACTAGGTCCAAAGCCTCCACCCTGGATGAAGTGTTTCAAGTCTTAATAAAGTGCTTTTAATAACTTGAATTTCCCCAGTGCTTCTTCTAAAGCCTCAAGCTATGTCTTTCGACGGTCCGAATTCAGCTCAAATCTGGACGAGCCACTAGAGTCACTAGAGGTCAATTCGTGTGACAGAAAAAGTGGAATCCATGGAGCCCAATGAAAACCGAGTTCATATCACAAGGAAAACAAAAAGCGTCACAAGCATTGACCCATTTGACTCTTTATGTTGCGCAGCCACGTTTCCCGCAGTTGTGCTCGGATCGAAGCTCTTCTGGGAACTCACTTGTGTGTCTTGTCAGCACTGAGGGTTCGTCTGGACCCGATGTATTTTTGATGCGTAGAAGCTGGATCTTGCTATATCTAGCTATATATCTTCCTGATAGGGAAGAGATGGGAAGAGGCATGCAGATTTCTTAGCCTTCTACTCGAAGTCCTTTGTGCTTTGCATTTTTTTCTGTTCCCTCTCTTGAACAATGAGAATGCACACAATATAGATCAATATAGACACTATGTCAGAGCCTGCAGTTCAGATCAGTTCAGATCAGTTCAATCAGAACATGTCAGAACCATCACACATAATATTACAATGATATTGCATTGTTACATAATATATTAAATAATATAGTAATATATATATATTATATTACATACATAATATAATATTACATAGTAATCTGTTATATTTGGTCATACTGCTCCCCTGCTCCCAGGTGACACCAGAGGTGCTGCTTTCTCTGACAAAGCTCTTAGGAGCGTTAAGTCGTTTGAGTTTTATAAGTGCAGAGGGCAAAGAGGGTTACATAGCGGGTTGATCCTGAAAGCTGTGTTACTTTGCGGCATGAGACAAACTTCTCAAATGGCAGAATCATTAGTGTTCGACGACCCAGAAGACCGAATGATGTGGAACATAAACTTCCATCCCATTGCGACTGTGCCCATGCTTCATATACTCTGAACACTGCCACGGTTAACTTCTCAGTTGGCGGAGGGTTGACAGCCTGAAGGCCATTTCGTGCAAAGGTGGTGCTGGAATGAACAAAGTCTACCCATGCGCAGTCTCCTCCTAGGAGACTATGTAAACCCGGATTCTAATTGCAACCGTCCAGGATTATGTAACTATAATTAACTATACGCACTATACACAGAACATCACAGAACGATTTGTAACGCAACATATAGTGCCGTGATTATATATAACGGTTACCTGCAGACCCTCCTTTCACGTTTGTTAGTTTCCTCGTGCAAGACTCCCTAAACCAACTTCGTGCTGACTGTAGACCCAAGTGGCAGGATATTGATCCCGGCTCACAGTGCTGTATTTTAAGAGATGGGGGAGAACAACTTGCTGAAAGTTCCACAGATCTTTTGAACATTTTTGAAATATAGGCTATGTTCTATGATGATGCAGTGCTTTTTCCGGCTCCATGAGGGTCAAGCCGCTGGTGATAGAATAAAGTCGAATTCAGAAACTTTCCTTGGGTTCAGAAACTACAGATTCATCAGAAATTGGAGGTCGGATTCAGAAACTAATCCGTCGTATTCAGAAACTACTCTGTCAGCATATTCAGAAGCTACTTGTCGTATTCAGAAACTACTTGTCGTATTCAGGAACTACTTCGTCGTATTCAGAAACTATTTTGTCGTATTCAGAAACTATTCGTTGTATTCAGAAACTACTCCGTCGTATTCAGAAACTACTGATTGGTTTACGGTTTCTTTAAGTTTCATTTAGGGATGGTTTAGGTTTTCTTTAGGGTTGAGTTTATTTAGGGTTGGTTTAGGGTTTCTTTAGGGCTTGTTTAGGTTAGGGTTGGTTCAGGGCTTGTTTAGGATTGGTTTGGGGTTTCTTTAGGGTTGGTTTCGGGTTTATTTAGGTCATTAGTTTCCATCTCCTTTCCTCCTAGAAAGCCAGTTGCAGAATACAAATCCCAGTTTCCGAATA